GGCTCCCTGCTCAGCGGGGAGTCTGCTTCTCCCTCTGACCCTCCTCCCTCTCATGCTCTCTGTCTCTCATTCTCTCTCTCGCAAATAAATAAAATCTTATAAAAAAATAAATTAATTTAAAAAAAAAGTAATTTTTCCAAAATATTAGAGGACTCCCTTACTTTTTCCAAAGTTCCATCTTAATTCTTTGATCATTCTCTGTGGTTCATCTCTCTTGTGGATTTCTTCTTTAATCTTTCACTAGATTGTTTGTGATTGGCTTTGAGTGGAATCCTATTATTGACTAATATGGCTTTTATGGGCTCCATTATATTCTGCATCAGCTGCTGATTTGCACTTCTAGTTTGCAACTTACTTAAAATGTCTAGTCACAATTGTTATTCCAACAGTTAGCAAGGGGTTGCCATAAGGAGTAAATAAAATACATAAACATGATAGCATAGTAAATACTTAATTATGAGAAAACCCTCAGATGTGGCATATTTGTTTGTGTTTCATGCCTTTGCCTAGAATATTCCATCCTTTGAGACAGGTCAGTTCACAGATGAGCATTTTCATGTTATGGCTACTTGTACTTCCCTATAAAACATGCTGCTGAGCTCGTAAGTTGGAGCCCTTGGGAAAAGAGAACCCTAGGGTATAAATGGTTGGAGGCCTGGGGTGGCAGGCATTTCCAGAAGCTGATACTGTCATCAGGGGTGAGCTGACAGAGACCCCAGTCGTACAGTATTTAGACCCCAATCATGCAATATTTAGACATTGCTGAGGTTGAATTCATAGGACCAGTAGTTGGGCACCTGAAAATGTAAACTGGAATAAAGAACTCAGGAAAGAAAGCACTGAGGGTGGAGTTGGGAAGGCGGCAGAGATAGCGAGGTAGGTTTTCAATCCTCTGAGATGTGATTTTGGTGGGCTCTTTACCCTCCACGAAGAAATAAACAACCCACGCCAACGGATTGCACCCACTGGCGCTTTCGAAAAATTCCTTTTAGTTTTTAAGTCTTTGATCCATGTTCAGAAGTCAACACCCTTGACAGGGTTGCCATTTGGAGCTAACAGTCCCCGCAGTGTCAGTGAAAGATTTGATTGGGGTGTCTTAGAGAACGGGAGGGTGTGACCGCAGAGGAGGGAGAGAGCGCCTGGCACGACGTATGGCCCAGGGCGCAAGGCCTGACAGCCTCGAGGGGACCCGGACCAGCGGGTGTGTTTGAGGCTTACATAGTTCAGATTTCTGCATGCCTGCGGACGCACTCTTGACATGCCTCTCCTGGCATGTGGCCCCTTCACAGCATAAGCCTCCGGTCTGGTCACGGCCGCTTCCTCTCCACCAGGGCTGCAAAGGGCCAGGCTTGGGCATCTCCTGCTTCTGCTGTTCTCGGTTCCCGTTCCTGAGCCTCCTTTTCTTCCTCTCCCCACATCCCACCGGCCCTCCCAGGCCACCTCTTCTCTCTAGCTGCCTATGACCATCCCTCCATTCTTTCCACCATACCCCTTAGTCTTTGCGTTGTGGATGTTCAGCATTTAAGGGCATTTAGCTTTTCCTGAATCTCATTGACTTTAGGTTTATTCTCTCATCCACGTATTATATGCGTTCTAACTAACTTAGGATTTCTCTAAATGTGTCCCCATGAAGTAGCACGATTGTAGTATACACAAATAGGCCTATAATCAAAGGGTTGGAAATCCTGGTGTTTGCAAAGGTTGAAAACCCTTAGGCCTCTGCAGAGCTTTAATTTCCAAAAGCAAATCCTGAATCCCTTATGGAGTGTTCTTCACTGTTAGTCACTTTTACAAGAACCTGTTTTTAATCTCTCAGGGACAGTGTCCTGCAAGACATGGTTTCCAGAAGGGCTGCTGTAATTGGCTTAGGCTCTGGAAGGGTGGCAACCCCATTGGCCTCCCCTGTGGATCCCCACGTTAGCTGAGTGCAGTCATATCTGAGTAAACTCTTGGGACATTTTTTTAAAACTTTTTTATTGTTGGAGAAATTTCTATAAAATTCACCATTTAAATCATTTTAAGGTATACAATTCAGAGGAATTTGGTATATTCACAATGTGCATCCCTCACCGTCCTCTGATTCCAGAACATTTTCGTTACCCCAAAAGGAAACCCTGGACCCAATAAGCAGTCACTCCCCAGCAACCACAAATCTGCTTTCTGTTCCTATGAATTTGCCTATTCTGGACAATCTCCTATCAGTGGAACCGTAGATACCAGGTCTCAGACCTGCACCATACCTCAGCTCCCCCAGTGTAGCTCTCTTTCATGGGCCAAACCTCATTCGTGTGTAAGTAACAAAAAGCAACTCTCCACCTGGAAACCTTCAAGTCATGTGGCCGGGTTAAAAATACCCATGGAATACTGCAGAAGAGGGTCAGCAGTGTGTTTGCCATTGCCATGATTGGGCCTGGGATTTCAGGGAGCCGACTTGAGCTGGGCAGGGAGCCCCTTCCTGGTGGTGGAGATAACAGGCTGCTGGTACAATTGGCTTATCACTCTCACCCATTTCCTCTCCAGTCAGAGGTCTGCATGTCAGGCTGCTCATCTCATCATCTAATAAACTACCAAACATGTTAGAGTGGCCTGGGTTCTTCAGGGGCGGAATCTTCATTTGTCCTTTGGGCACGGTCATCAAGCCTGAGGACTCAGGCAAAAATTGGATATCCCGGGGCTCTCTGGCTCATGCATTGGAATTCACAGGGGATGGATTATTCCTCACCCCCTAGAGAGAGCTGCTGGCCACCCCCTTGTAGCACCCTGTGCCCACCTGCCTCATGGGCTTGTGCAACCCCCTCCTGTTGGTCCTTTGAATTGCCAAGATTGTCTCGTCTTTGGGCTGCATCCTTCACTCGTCCACTCTTGATGCCTCTCGAGGCTGGGCACACCACTGTGCACTCTTCCACCCAAGAAACTGTGGTAATTGTCTTGGTGTCGAAACACCTTTCTAGTCTTAGCCTGTCTCTCTCCTTCTCGATGTAGACTGTGGTCCTTCATACTTACCAGACTGGTCTTGCTCCTCTGCCCCCTCCAGCCTCTAGCTGCTCCTCCCCAGGCTTGGAACCACTGCCTGCTCTCTCTCCTTTTCCTTGACCAATGTGACTCTTCCTTGAAGCTCAGCTCACAGCTCAGCACTTGCACAGGGCTTCCCTGAACATTCCAGCCACTCTTGCTGCCCCCTCTACATTTGTGTTGCAACTCTAGTACCACAGAATTTAGAGCTGGCAACGTTTTTTCCCAAAGATTTAATCACTTGGTCTTTCCCTCCCAGTCAGATGACTAGCTCTTGGAGGAAGGGACAATGGTAAAGTTAAGCAAGTGGAGTGGGAAGGCGCCAGACTGTGAATCTGGGGGCCAGGTCACCTGTGGGAGCGGCCACTCGCTGGCTCTGTTGTCTTGGAAAAGCTACTTCTCTTGAACTTCTGTTCTCATCTATAAAATGAGTGGGGGACAAAGAGAGTGTTTTAACAGTTTCCTATTTGCTGCTCTAAGAAGTTACCATGAACTTAGTGGCTTAAAGCGGCACAAATTTATTCTCTTAGCATTGGAGGTCAGAAGTCGAAAATGGATCTGTAGGTGACATTCCTCCTGGAGGCTCTAGGGAGAGTCTGTTTCTTGTCTTTTCCAGCTTTTAGAGGCCAGCCTTGGAGGATATCATTCTGTCAACCACAGTGGGTTCTTAGGTCTCTTGTGTCTGTACACATTTCTTCCAGTTATGTAAAGAGTTTAGCACTGTGCTAGACTCGTTAATTTCTTTTTTTTTTTTTTTAAAGATTTTATTTATTTATTTGAGAGAGAGAATGAGATAGAGAGAGCATGAGAGGCGGAGGGTCAGAGGGAGAAGCAGACTCCCTGCCGAGCAGGGAGCCCGATGCGGGACTCGATCCCGGGACTCCAGGATCATGACCTGAGCCGAAGGCAGTCGCTTAACCAACTGAGCCACCCAGGCGCCCAGACTCGTTAATTTCTTGACCAGTTAGTTTATCTATGAGGATTTCCTCTTCCCAGATTGTTACTGGGGGTTCAAGGGCCTGATAAGACTCAGTGATAGAGCTGTGAGTGCAGACTTTAGGATTGTTGTTACATTTCCACTGACTGCACTTTTACTAGCAAAAATTTGATGATGCTCTTCTTCCTATTTTTGATTTCCTGCTTTGCCCGTTTTGAAAAAATCCTCAAAGAATTTCACCTGTTCCCCAGTAGCCAGGGGTGGCCTTTTAAACAGCTTGTTAATTATACTGGTGATTCTGCCGTATGTCCGTTGGTCTTTCCATAAATTCCTGAATGTGTTTCCAGGTCCTCTTGCATAACTTGCCACAGATATGTCTTTAAGGATTAGAAGCCAAATAGTCTAGGATAACTAACCTAGCTAATTTCATCTGTAATTGCTACTAAATATCATGGTATTTCACAGGAATTTAGATAGGCATTTATATGGGAGTTATGTGATTTTTCTTGCCCTTCATCCCATCAGCTGGTGTCCACCTCGGGTGAGCACCACTTAGAAAGCAGTGAGAAAGTGGGGTGCCCCGCCAGCTCAGAGGAGGATGCGTCTCTTGATCTCGGGGTCATGGGTTTTGTGCCCCACATTCGATATAGAGATTACTTAAATAAGTAAATAAACTTAAAAAAAAAAGGGCAGTGAGAAAACATCTGTAAAATCTACCCCCCCATTTAATTTTAAGATTTTTTTTTTTTTAAGCTTTTATTTATTTGACAGAGAGAGCGAGCACGGTGGGGGGGGGGGGGCGGGGGGTTGGCAGAGGGAGAGGGAGAAGCAGGCTTTTTGCTGAGCAAGGAGCCCGCTGCGGACCTCGATCCCAGGACCCTGGGATCATGACCTGAGCCAAAGGCAGCCGCTTAACTGACGGAGCCACCCGGGCATCCCTAATTTTAAGTTTTGAGATGACTTTTCACTGTTGAGTCTGAGACACTTACAGTGTGGGTCAAGCACACCTGCGGCCTATATATTGAAGCTTTCTTCCTGCTTTGTCTCCTAGATGCACCCACTGGGCTTGTGTAATAACAACGATGAAGAGGACTTGTATGAATACGGCTGGGTAGGTGTGGTGAAGCTGGAACAGCCAGAGTTGGACCCGAAACCATGCCTCACTGTCCTGGGCAAGGTAAGCAAGCGCCAGGCCCTCTGAATCGCTTCGCTTCTTACTGGCATTCTCTGCTTTCCCATTTCATCAGTGGCTCACCCAGTTGGTTACAGAGAAGAGCCATGCAGGCCCAGCACTCTTTCCCAGCTGAATGGGGCAGGATGAGGACTAAGCCATGTCTTGTGGAGGCCCCACTACGGTGCCTCCGAGCTCGGACTCTGATGGAGCCTGCCAGCCTCAGAGTCGGCTCCATCTCGAGTCACTCTGTGACTCTAGGCAAGTCACTTCCCCTCAAGGAGTCTCTGTGTCTTATAATAGAGATTCACAATACCTTCTGCCCTTGGGGACAGAGCTTTCAGAAATCTGAGATTTGGGGAGTTTAGAAAGGTATTAAGGCTGTGCATATTTTATATTAAGGGACCCCCCCAGGAGGCCTGGGACCATTCTCAGTAATTAAACACACTCCTATTTGTGTAGCAGACTATACAGATATTCACATTAAGTGGGATAACTAAAATCTAAACAGCCTCACCTCATGTTAGTTCAGGGTAGCTTTGCCTCTCAATGAGCTCAGGTCCATTAAGTTTTGCTGCCAAGTAAGTTATGGAAAAACTTCTGGGTTTTAGAGCTTTTTTGGTTTCAGAATGGCAGACAGCAATTATGGTCCTATATTAGAACTTACCTCATAGGATGGTTAGGAGGTGAGATGAGATGCGAACAGCCAGCAGAGTAAGCTCTCAAAAAATGTTTGCTGCCATTGGTTGCTGTCATCCCATTTGGACTAAAAAAGACTCGTGAGCCAAGAGGGGTCAGCATTATCTCTGGCTGCAGTGTTAAGATAGAAATAAATTTATTTTGGGAAACTATCCATCAATGATCTTAAAATATGACAGATGGCAATCTGTTTTAAACTGGATCATTTGTTAAAGAGAAAGGTTTGGAGAAAGCTATGAGAATTTTAGTTGGAGAAAAGGCGGTATCTCTTAAGGATAGTGTTATTGCCTGGATTATTTATTTATTTATTTATTTATTTTTAATAATCTCAGAAGCTATGGGCAGACAGCTGGGGAAAAAACAGTCCTGGTTCCTGACCTCTTGGGGATCCAGGCAAGAGAAGAGGTGGTTTTGATGCAGGGTGCTTGACGGGGAGCCTTTCTCAGACTTGAAGATGTCCCAGCCAGTCTCCTGAAAGACTTTGGGTCCAGGAGACTGTTAAGGGTCTAATCTATGATTTTCATGTCCCACTTGTCTTCTGAAGCTTCTGAGCGCTTGTCAAGTTCTCCTGCTCTTTTATGGGGGGGGGGGGGGGAACCAACCCAGGAATTATTACCTGTTTGGTTTACAGTTTATGAAGTCAAATCAAGGTGTTTTAGGTGACCCAGGCCCTGATACTTCATCGTTTAAATAGTTGGCCAGAGCTGCTTAATGATGCTAGGAGAGCAGCGACCCCTTTGAGAATACTTTAGTGTTTACCTAGGAGAAATGCCAGCTACATCTAAAGGTTAGGAACACTGCCTTCCTTGTAGGTAGTACACTCCTCAAGTAATATTTTCTCCTATACTTAAGCTGCTGCTATGCAGGGCTCAGCAACTTGGCCTAATTTGCTTTGCCCCCATCCAGTGGAGTTCCACCTTTGCATCTGTTGTGTCTATAAGTGGGTTGGAACAGGGCTCCCAGGGACCCAATTGTTTCTTCCTCCACCTGGAACAACCGTGTAGTGGTTTTACTTGAAGAATTTTGTATGGTTTGGCCTGCTGGCTTGCAAAGCCAGGGGGAATAAAAACCCTAGACATATATTGAAATCATTAAGTACTTCTTGGGTTTATTCATTCATCAAATATTTATTGAATGCAGAAGCTAAGCGTGTGGTTCTACCTGCTTGCAAGCAACAGCCCTCTCCCCCCACCACGTTTCTGTTTGGAAAGGCTCTGTGGTGGCCAGGCAGTGGTTAGTTACACGTGGTTAGTTACTGAAATTTGGCTTAACACCTGAATAAAATCATTAGCAAAAACCTTGGGCCAGACAAAGCAAGACAGTTCCACGTTTGTTTAGAGCCTGGGTCTGTACAAGAGGTGTGATGACTCATGCATCTCTCTCTCCCCCCTTTCTTTTTTCTTTCTCCCTTCCTTCCTTCCTCTTTCTTTTCCTTTCTGATTTTAAAGTGTAATTGTTTTCAGCTTTGATTTTATTAACTTTGCTAACTGCACTTTCCTTTTTTTTGAGCCCCTAGCAAGAGACTAGGATAAAGAAACGCAAAGTGAGCCTTGTGGGCAGCTCTGTCTCCTGCAGATAGCATGCTTTTCTCTCATTTCTTTGCTCTCGGTGGCTATGGCGAGAAGACGATGGGCAGTGGAGAGAAGCACAAAAGCAAGAAACTGTAGCCAAGTCAGTGTGGGGGTGGGAGGAGGGACTCCTCCATATAGATGTTGAGACTTGCTGAAAACCATCTAAGGGAGGACTCTGTCAGACATTCGGAAAAGCCTGTGGGAGAACGGCGGGGCGGGGGGGGGGGGTGTTGGGCCAGACACAGACCCCCTCTCCCTCCTCCGCCCCCTACCCCCCCATCACCTACCCGCCCACAGAAAATGCCATGGGGCAAAATGTTGAAACAAGAGAGGAATGTCCTAAATTAAAAAAACTGTAAATGCCTCTCCAGGAGTTCAAATAAAGTTTCATTTTAAAAGCAAAAGACATAAACTCATCACCTTGGTTTATTACTGAATGCTTTTGAACTCCTCAGAAGGGAACACTATAACTCATGAGAGAAAAATGATTTATGATCCCCCTCCTTATAATCTTTTCAATCCTGCAGGAGGCAGGGCAGACAGTAGGATCAGCTAGGGAGGCAGAGTTGGGGTGAGAGGGAGCCCCCCACAGGGATACAGCCAGCCAGGGCACCAGGCCAGGCCCTGCATCACACGAAGTGCGGAACAAATCTCTTGGCTTTCTGGGCCTCTCTTTTTCACTTCGTGTTAAGATGCTGTTATGGCCTCTTTACTCTTCCAATATTTTCAGCTTCTGTGTCATTTAAAATCTTCCCTTGAGATTCTAGTTTGGGGAGATTCTCTTTGCAGCATTGAAAGGCAGACTGGGTTACCTGTGACAGTTTAAGTGCTAAGAAATTAAAATAGAATAAAATTGACATTTCTGAGGAGCTTGCTAACTGAAAGTAAGAGTCTTAAACCATCCCCAAAGTGCAGGAATCTATGTTTATGTCCTGGGCATTTTAACCCTTCAATTCAAACAGTGTTTATTAAGCATCTTACGGGACAGGAAAGAAGTTTGAAGGTTGGCTTTACTAGCTTCAGTTCCTATGACCCGTCCACGTAATGGAGGGTCTCATGGCAGGAACACACAGGATGTGCTGGAGTTTCTAACAAAGCCCGCCTGGCCCAGATTCCATAAATGGAGGCAGAATAAACCTCTTCTCCCCCTCATCCCACATTGGAGTGGAGCCCTAGGGAGGGTTTTGAAAGGCCGGTCAACAGGCGCGGACTGGCTCTTTCTGGTGCTTAGGAGGACAGTGTGAGGAAATGCATGAAAAGACAAGAAAGGCAGGGGATTTCAGGTCACTGAGACCCAGCTCTGGCAGAGTGACCTCCGAAAAATCCCATCAGTTCGGGGGCCCCTGTGCCCCTCCTTGGGGCTGGTGCTGCCCTTGTCATCACGTCAGGAGTCCCGCAAGATGTTTGCGGAGAACTTACCACAGAGTCTGGCTCGTGGTAAACGCCTGACGGGAACGTAAAAGCAGCCGTCATGTGTTGGGTGCTCGCTGAGCACTAGAAGCTTTCCAGGCAGCATCTCTCATTGTCAGACTGACTCTGGGATCGTGTCCAGATTCCCATTTTACAACGAGGAAATCAAGTCCCAGAGACATTGTCTGTGTAACCTAAGATCAAACAGCTGCCAAGTAGCCGACCTGAGATCTGAGATAAAGACGGTTCTCCTGCCTCATCTGTGTTAGTTTCTTCCCCTTGCCCCCTTTTGTCTTCACTAGTTTGTAGATAAAAATCGGGTGCTTTTTAGTAGCCACTGGCTTGGTTAGGACTGTTGGTTGCACTTAACAGAGACCCAGCTTGAACTGTGTTGAGCCAAAAGGGGATTTGCTCTTGAGACTCCTGGCTGGCATCAGGGAACCCATGAGAGGTGCTGCTGCTGTTCTAGAACACCCGACTCTGGGGCTCAGTGCCAGTGGCCCCTCCCCGAGTCTTCTGTATATCTGCTTTTATTTCCTCTCTCTCCACCTGCTTGGTAGGATACATAGCTCCCCCCCCTATATCTGGGCCTGACACTCTCTTGGTTTCGAGCCTGAAGGATTCCAGTAAAGGGATTTGTTGGCCCCTCTTGGATCCGGTGGTCACTTTCAGCTGTGATCTAGGGCTGGGAACACACAGAACTTAGCTTCCTGCCCAGCCATGTGTGGGGAGTGGGAGGAAGAAGGCTCTCCAGAAGAAAGCTGGTGGGGGGCAGTGCTGGGCTACCCCGTTGTAGTTACCAAGTCATAGATGGGATCATTAGCTGGTGGGTGATGTCCTCAGTTTATCCTGAGTCAGTCCGAGAGGCCCCAGTGGGAGGGGACTTCTCTGGCGCATGTGTACTATGAAGAGTTCGTTCCTCTCCTTGCCCTGAGCTGAGGCCCGATCCCTGGTACAGACACTAATTGTGAGGAGAGGTGAATCTCTGGGGTGGAGGGGTCAGGTGAGTTTTACAGAGAGGGGCTGTCTGAGTCTGGGAGAGATGGGGGAATAAGCTCCAGGAATAGGGCAGAAAGAAAGGAAGCAAGAAGTTCTTCAAGGGGCATTGAAAGTTGTTGGGGAAGAAAGAGGCTTTCAGGTTGAGGAGTGTAGTCTTCATTCCCTAGGCTGGTTGGAGAGGGAAGGATCAGGTTACTCTTCGCTGTTGGGTGTTTCTGGGAAGTGAGTGGTGCCCAGACGTCACTTTTCTTCAGTGGTCTGGTGACATTCAAGCCAGTGGCATTGCTGAGGACACCTCGTGTTTGCCTTCGTATTTCCCCAGTCTGT